TTTATCACTCTCTTTTGTCAGCAAATAAACAACTGTCACGTATCATTAACTGATTTATCAACAAAGATAAATGAAGTCAGCATTTATTATCTCTTCTGTAATATGTAGCCACTTATTTTATGTATAATTGGTTTATCACATGTTGAAATGTCCATTAATCAACAAGGAAGCACGTATACCATCATTATATATGCGTCTTGCGTAATATTATTAGTATTTTAAATTGTATTTAATGATTGCATAACATTCATGATTTGAGAAATAAATTATAAAAGTGTAAATTTCAAAGAAAATACTAGGATATGACAAGGGAACTGTACTGGTACTGTAATAATTGACAAATGAATTTCTATTACAATTCAAGATCCAATTTAGTAAAGAAAATGTTTTTCCTGTACTGCATGCTGCTTTTGAAATACATTAAATAGTACTGCTATTGAAGATGTCACCATAGATAAATAATAAAATGCATTTATTATTATTATCCTTTTGGTAGTATCTACAATAAATCATATTATATTCACATTATTCATGAATACCACATAGCATAATTCCACAATCAGGGGTCCCATTTAGTTCAAAACATTGGAAGTCAAAGACTGCAAAATGTTTGACATTGGAAGTCACATTTATCATTATATAGGTGAAAAAGGACAAGCATTATATTTTATGAAGTTACAAGCCAAAATCAAGGAGGAAATGACTCCAAAACATCCCCTAACAGAAGCCCTGCTACCCGGATATTTCTATCATTTACTAGTATGAGCCAGTACTTTTTTGCTGATGAAATATTTTGTGTTGTAATTTTAGGTCAGCCAACAGACATTTAACATTTTAAAGTAGATAATACCCAGCATGTTGGAGCCATATTCTTTAAGACCACAAGGAAATTTACTTGTAAGTGGTTTGATACTGTTTTAAAGGTCAAATGATTTACTATGATTGTAATCATTGTATACATACAGGAATATAAATAATCATCATGAACTGATCATTCTCAACCATTTTTATCAAATAATGATAATGATAAATTTCCTGAATTGCGGTTGAAAGCAATGTAACTTATTTGAAATTTAGCATTTAAAATATGATGTCAGATAAGATGTTAAAAAAATTGTACAGTAACAGGAACTAAATTTTTAAGTTTATATTTAGAAATAAGGCTGTATTGTTTTTATGCAAATACTGTCATTAATGTATTGAAAATAATGTTAAGCTGTTAAAGTACATATACATTTTGTACATAATTTTCAGAACACATAGATAGTTCATCTATATGCTAATGAATATACTATTGATGAAAATGAGGCACAATTGGTGAAATCTATGTCCTATTGAGCAACAGGGGTATGAAGTAATAAGAGACAATCACTTTGTATCAACTGCACAGTATTGGTCAAGATAAAAAAAATCACTTCAATTGGGTAACATGTATATTTATTCAGTATTCCATATTGAATAATCAATTTTGTGAAATAAAGAGTGGGGTGTTCTCACCAAAATACATGCATATTATGTAGATTCAGATTATTTTAATCATGTTCAAGATGAATGTTACTGCTACATGTACATGATATACTAGTATAGACTGTCATATATTACACAAGAACTTACATGATGAACAGGACCTTATATGAACCAAATAGCTGTGCAATATTATACAACAGTTTACTTGTAGTTCATTTCTGTTCAGTCAAATTATCATATACACTATATTGTTTCATTTATACTTATTCAGGTTTTTGTTATTTCAGGATGGCATTGTGAGAAGTCAATGACTTGTCTATGTTTGACAGTATACCAAAAATGAATTTTATTCTCATAGAATTTATGTCTACAGAAATATCCCTGAAAAAGCTGAATACTGCAGTGGCAGATGCTACAATATTTTTACTTAATTTTGCAAGTTTATACAAAAACTGAAGGCATATGAGGAGACATGTTTGTTGTTACAAATGGCTCAAGTCCTCAAACTGGGGTTGCAAGACTACATTCAAGGGCATAAGTGAGCTATCATTTGAGACTTTCCAATTTCCATGTGTTTGCAAAAATCTGTTATTTAATTATAATTGTTTTAAATTTTTGAAATTATTTCATTTTAAAAATATACTAAAACGTTATTCATATTAAACAATTTAAAATACACTGATGAGAATATGATTACACCGTAAATATCTGTAACTGAAAATATAGTCAGGAAAATAACTAGTGCAAGATCTTTCTATTTTGTGGTTAAATTTCTGAAAGACTTTTGAAATTATTGTGAATACATTTAATCATTTATATTGAATATTTTTTTATAAAATGCCATTATTTTAAATCATGCAGTTTTTTCATATTTTTTTTACCATGGCAACCAAATATACACCTTTTTTGTAATCAGTGCATTAAAGAATATTTGTTTTGCATTGGATTTATAATTAATTTCCCATCATGTTAGAGCTATGTGCTTTAAACTGAAATTACTTAATTAATGATATTCGCCTTAATCATGGAGAAGTTACTGAAATTCTGAGAATTTAATCCTTACCTTTATATTTATTATCAATAACACTTTTAAAGGAAAAATCTTTTTTTTTCTTTTTCTGAAAAGCCTTAAACATTGCTGTTCTTTGATAAAATATATGCATTAATTTGGTGATTAATTAAACATGTTAAGTGCAAAAATATTGCATTTGACGATTTTTTATTTTTGTTGCCATAGCAACCGATTATTGAAAACAAATAATAGTTTTTATATCAAGATATTACATATATTACATCAAGAATGATAACTTTATAATTAGTTTATTTCATTTTGTATAACTATAGAATTATTTCTAGTTATAATAACAATAAAAGTTTAAAAATTATTTTTTTGTTGTTATGGTGATGGCCGTGAAATACCATTTTTACGGAGTCGCAAAAGCGCCACGGGTATGTGGTAAAGTCTACTTCGGTAAATTATAATTGAATATTATCATGTCTGACAATCATAATCAATTTATAAATACCCACAATTATAACCAATTTCGAATAAATGTCAAAAGTTGGAAACATTGAGTACTTTTGGTTTCCCAAACAATACTATTAAGTATATAAATATTGTTCTGTTGAGTATTTTGTCTATAAATTACTAAATTCAGGCGAAATTTAACTCGATAAATTGGAATGAATTAGGAAAACAACTATACCAGCATAAAATTACTGTTTGTTAACATGTTTAGTTTCTTAGCGTAGGTGAGTCCGTATTGTGTATACTTGTGTTCGAGGTCCTCTCGGAAAGTGCAGAGAGGATGCGATTGTGATACACCGTGCTGTTAAGTGAAACAAATGTATGACAGAATAGGCCTAAATCATTCGCTGTCTGCCTTTATATGTTCAAACCCGTCTGGTATTATGTTCATGTCTCCTCATGTGAAACCATTACCGCTGAGACAAGGAAACAGTTTAGAAAGTGTTCAAATCAGCTACAGTATTTCATTTCTCCACTGTGGTCCAAAATCATTAAAATATTAAATTTGATCTTACTCAACGACTTTAACCATCCGACCACTGAAGCCCTTTGCACCACATGTATAAGCAAATGCATTAAATGTATATGTATCACATCATACGATGTGACGTAAATAAATGTTATCTCGCTTAATTGATAAAATTATTGGAATGGACGAAAAGAACTGCGTAGGGAAAAAAATGCAGTCAGCATTTATGATTATATTTATCAAAATTATTTTGTAATATCATACAGGCACTTCAGGTATCAGATTAATGGTGTATATGGTAAAAGGCTGCAAATGAAGTACAGACTGATACAAAATTATTTGTATAATTCAAGTGGTGGTTGATTTCTGCCAATTCACGTTTTCGTATCTCCTTTTCGACTTTTGAGATGCACCGACACAAATACACGATATTATTTTAGGCGATATAACGATATTTTAATAGGCGAATACTCGAGCTTTTCTTTTGTAGAAATTTCGTGTCGGCGGATAGGGATCGACGTATCGGCACCCCCTTTATTTGTCGTGTTGTCGTGTCTTCGATTTTCGGACACGATTTTGAACAAATTAAAAAGACAATGTAGACATATACGGCCACGAAAACGATCTTATATTTAAAGACTGCGCTGACAACTTCGATCACGACCATGACCATGATTGTTTACAACTACAACTCGTTATCTATGATGACAACGACCATGTATAGCTACAACTTACTTTTAGACTTTTAAGAGTACGGTTACTACTACTCTTTTACGACTATGACTTTTACGACTCTATGACTACGACCACGACTATAGCGATAAAAACGACTTTAAGAATTACACTTACGATTACAGGTTCGTCGACGATTACCACCACAAGGGTCTTACCGCCTAGAACACGATCACGACTACACCGTCAGCTAAGACCACGACTATAGTTACGACAACTACGATCTTGATTGAGAATTTTACGATTTCAAGTGAGATTATGACTTCTACGAATACAATTACAACCGGCTAAGACTTCGATGACTACCACTTTGACGACTACGACAACTTCAACGACGACGACGACCAAAACAGTATAATAGAATTGAGACGTAAAGAGACATTTTCTCATATCCCCACTAAAAATGAAAACTATATCTAATGTATTCAGCTTACGTAAGTTGTATAATTCGTAAGCCTTATAATTTGTCAACTTACGAATACAGCTCACCATCAGTTGTATGCGTTTTCAACCAATTTATACAGCTCATGGGTAAGGAATACACGTCGTAAGTTTTATACGGTGCAACACTGCTCTTCCACGTTCATCTTTGCTATTAATATTTTACTATTTGTTATCGAAGTAAGCAAAATCTAAAGTATTTTATGTTTGAGTTAAAATCCTTTAAATGATAAAAGTATGATGGGAAGAAAATCAATTGTCATAAGATAAAGCGCATTATGAACAAACTACGTAGTAGATAATTACATTTGTACAAATCATAATACATGTGATGATGATGATAAAAAACACAGATTAGATTGCTCGCATATTTAAACATAAGTTGTTGCACATTAATATCATAGTGTACTCAAACTGAAGATCAAAGAAATTGAAACATAAAACTTTTACTAACTCCTGCGTATTGATACAATGGATGTGACAAGATTACGAGTTCCTATGGACTGTTTTCCGCGATGGTCTTTCGCTTCAAGAAATACTCCAGGGATAGAAGCAAGATTCAATAGAATGATGAAACAGGCTGGAATGACTGATGAAAAAGTCTTTCATTGTTGTAAAAATGATACAGTTTTCATTTCTATATACAGAAATATGGACGAAAAAGATACTTTCATAACAGAGAAAATTGTGAGACGAAATTCAAGCAAAATTATAAAGTTATTGAACGGTTTTCATCAAAAGGAAAAAGATTGTTTGGAAATTGCTATACTTACTACTATGGAAAAAGAAGATATCTTAAAATTAGGATTGAATACTAGTAAACGTTTTGTAATTGATGCACAGGAAGTCAAAAATGATCCTAATTCAGAGGAGGTAGTTACTACAGCAGAATCACTCGCCAGTGATATTGATGATTATTTGGAACATGAAGCGTACAAACCGTTGATGAAATACTACAAGATTTTACAGAATTTGTTGCACTGCAGTATTGATGAAAACGTGGAAGGTCTGTTTATCGAAAAAGTTAAATAAATATATGTTTTTCTTTCTTTCAATTTCTTTCAACAATGACCGTTTTTTTTAAATCTTATGTCAAATCAACTTTGAAATAAGGCTTCAACGTGTGAAACATGTCTCAGATTTCAGGACATTTGGTGAGCCATCATTCAAACACAAATTTGTGGTGATATTAACCTTAAAAAGTGACCATTATGCAATTACCTATTTCTAACATAGAAAAGTACAAATATAGAAAAGTGAAAAATTAATAGAGCCATATCCTACACAATCTGAATTATAATCTTGATGGACTATGAGATTCTTCATTACTAATTCATTTTCACAGGCCCCGGGATTGTATTGTAATTTTTACAGATTAAAAAACATTTAAGCCATTTCATATTGTCGCTATTTTTGCATTGAGAATAGAAATAAAATTATAAATACACGAATGTACGACAACGATCTAAAGAAACTTATTTCTATTCTAAATTTTACAGACAAGGATAAAATGTAGTACGTTTTAGTTCTTATTTTTCACAGACAAGGGGATGACTTTCAAGTTTGAAAATCCAAAAGCTATACCAAGAGAAGCGATTGAACAACTTCTGGAAGAGATTATGGCGTTGTTAAATTCAAGTCATATACAAGAGGAGCAAAAACCTCATCCAGAGTGTTGCACTACACCTATGTCAGAACAGGTAGATCTTTAAAATGCAATGTTCCTAAAGTGCTATATTGTTCAGGGATAAAAACGTTAAGTACATGGGGAAAATGATTTGATTCACTTTTACAAAATAAAAGTCTGTATTCATTTACTAGTAATCATATGTTTGTATAAGTACTGTATTTTGGGAGCAAAAATTCAATTTTCCGAAAATAAACTACAGTTTTAATGCCAATATACATGTATGCACATATATACGTAATGTATGCAGAAGTACGGTTTACTTATACTATCTATTAAAACACTTATTCTAGGTAAGAAAGGAACTTTTTGAAATGTGTCCAACAATCATGGCCGTAGGGTACCGCTTTCAAAAGATACACCTTTATCTTGAAGAAATAAAAGATAAGAATGAAATGGGAAATCGCAAACAAACAATTGAAAAATTTATGGAAAAGAACCTTATTGGAAATTACAGTTCATCAATTGTTTATTCGGAAATGAAGGAGCTAATGTCTGCTGGGTCAAAAGTTATAGCTCGAAACGAAAATCAAAACATCAAGAAGTCAGGTTCTCTTGGATGTATAGCAGAAATGGAAGCAGGAGATTCGAGAACAGACTGCATACTGGTTGCAAAGCATGTTGTGTTGGGCTGTTCTGACCTTTTTCTTGAAGAAAACGTTTCAGAAAGAAGGATTGCCAGTGTCATTGAAAGTACATCCAAATACAAATATGGATCGCTTGATATAGCAGCTGCTGAGGCTGTTGTGAAGATTGAAAATGACGACAGAAAATTAAAAGATTCCGTTGGTAATCTACGGCGCGGAAAACTTATTGAAAACATTGAGGGTAGACATGCAACAATGTCCGGAATAAAAGTTCATGTCTGGGGATCGAAATCCCAACCGGGAAAGGGAATAATCACAGATACCAATTACACCATTGAGGGAATGAATGCCAGCCTTGTTCAAATACAAAATGAAGAAAGTTATCCAGGTGCTGAGGTAAGACCTTTTGCAGTAGAAGGAGATAGTGGGGGAATCATTTGTTCAGATGACCCCGACGATGAACATGTAAATGCATACGCAATGCTTATTGGTAAGAATTTAGAAACTACATACATAGCTCTTCCGTTGGATAAAGGAATCATACAACTTGAAGAACAGACAGGGAACACATTCACCCTCTTTAATTAAAGAATAAAACCCTTCAAACTAAATATGCAAGATTAAGTTTGTATTCAAGTAATAATTTGCGAATGAAATGAAATCAAACATGACAATGCATGAACAGCTGGCGCCGCGATGCAATCTTGATCGACACATATTGCGCTTAATGGATTGTTATTAGTTCACGAATGGGGGATTACTGTGATTTCAAAGCATATAATGAACAACATTTCTCTAGAGGTCCGACCTAAACAACATGAACTAATGGGTTCACTCTGCGTTGCGAACTTTTTTTCTATTTAATTTCACACGATTGAACCAATTTAAAATGTGCCAGTGTCTATTCTAGGAGAAGGGGTGGGGGTGTTCACTCATATTTTAAAGACACTGGGTGTACAACTTAAATTTTTAATTCAATTTAATATTTTACTCAGATGTAGTTTTGAGTTTTAAGCTTTTGTTTCAATGCAAGTTTGTTCATTTACTTTAGAATTGTATTCGTTAGTAACATGTACAAATGCGTTTACAAATGCGTTCAGTATATAGATTTTTCAGTTTTGATTTTATATGATTATTGTATATTATTTAAAGCATAATAATGGTTTTAGTGTTTACTCATACATTTTTTTAAATCAAAATATGATTATGTACAAATTTAGCCGAACAATAAGCTTGTTAGTCAGTTAATTCGCGGCTATGCGGCTATGATTAATTAATAGATATGTTTTGTTTTAAGCATATTAAAAGATTATATATTTACTTTTAGTGTTTCAGAAATAAAATGTTTATGTTTTCATGTAGTGTTTATGTTTTCATATATATATATATATATATATATATATATAAAATTGTTCAATATAGTATATATTTATCTCCCTTTATATATATGTACATACTATTTTGAAAAATTTTAAATGCTTCTGATATACTTACAACTTTGGTGCTTAAATTCTTACTTTGTAACTTATAGTTTTATGTTTTATAATTATCCGTCATATTTTTATGTTTTATAATTATCCGTCATGTTGTTTCAGAAATAAAGTGTTTATGTTTTCATGTAGTTTATATATATAAAGCATATAAAATTGTTCAATATAATATATATTTACTATATACTATATTGAACAATATATACTATAATATATTTATATATTTATATTTGATATATACACTATATTGAACAATTTTATATGCTTATGATATACTTACAATTTTGGTGCTTTCATTCTTCCTTTGTAACTTATATATTTTTATGTTTTATAATTATCCGTCATGTTGTTTCAGAAATAAAGTGTTTATGTTTTCATGTAGTTTATATATATAAAGCATATAAAAATGTTAAATAAAGTATAGATTTACTATATACTATATTGAACAATTTTATATGCTTATTATATACTTACAACTTTGGTGCTTTAATTCTTCCTTTATTACTTATATATTTTTATGTTTTATAATTATTCGTCATGTTGTTTCAGAAATAAAGTGTTTATGTTTTCATGTAGTTTATATATATAAAGCATATAAAATTGTTCAATATAGTATATATTTACTATGTATTATATTGTATTGAACAATTTTATATGCTTATGATATACTTACAACTTTGGTGCTTTAATTCTTACTTTGTAACATATATATTTTATGTTTTATAATTATTCGTCATGTTGTTTCAGAAATAAAGTGTTTATGTTTTTATGTAGTTTATATATATAAAGCATATAAAATTGTTCAATATAGTATATATTTACTATGTATTATATTGTATTGAACAATTTTATATGCTTATGATATACTTACAACTTTGGTGCTTTAATTCTTACTTTGTAACATATATATTTTATGTTTTATAATTATCCGTCATGTTGTTTCAGAAATAAAGTGTTTATGTTTTCATGTAGTTTATATATATAAAGCATATAAAATTGTTCAATATAGTATATATTTACTATGTATTATATTGTATTGAACAATTTTATATTCTTATGATATACTTACAACTTTGGTGCTTTAATTCTTACTTTGTAACATATATATTTTATGTTTTATAATTATCCGTCATGTTGTTTTCTCGTCTATGGTAAGTATCTTCTCTTTTGTCCCTTGTTTTATATTTTTAATTTTGTCCCGCCCTTCACCGAATCTCGAGTCGCCTTCACCCGAGCCCTTTTACTTTGTGGGCACGTATTCATTATCCCTCATGTACAGACTCAATCAAACCGAGTCTGCATTTGTCTTGTAATATTGTTGTGATTTATGCTCCCGAGGGATCACTTTGTTTCCAGATTTCTATTTAACAATCAATTATTTGTTTTCTTTAATTTTCTTGTCGGTTACTATTATTTCCTTTTTAAGTATCAGTTAAGTGATTGTCCTGTCCGTGCTTTGTCTTATGCCATGTCCTGTCCATTTGATTAGGGGGGGGGGGGGGTCCTCCTAGGTTCCTTGTCGCTGGGTCTTGTTACTGGATCGTGTGGAGGTGCGTTTATTGAACGCCGCCCTTCCTTATTGATTATATTGTTTCCTTTGGACGTTTTTGCTTTCTTTTGATTTTCTTTTTTTTGTACGTTATTCTTTTTTGTGTAATCTTTGTGTTTTGTTTATTGTAAGAAGTGTAATAGGAATCGGTATATTTTGTGTTCGTCAACAAAATTTAACATAGAGATCATACATTTATGTGATGTGTTACAATCAGAGCAGTAAATCTCCCTTGAATAGACATTTTGATGGGTTTTTTCGACACGTTGTTATTCTAATGATCTCCTGGAACTATTGAAAAAATGGAAGGTATTGATTTTATTGACATCTTAAAGCAATTTGGTATTACATGTATTTATTTTTAACGCTTAATTCGCTTACTGAGAAAGCTGCCACAACTATAGTTCAAACGTAGATTCACAACATTTATGTTTCCTTGAAACTTTGATCAAATCTATATGCTACAATATTCTTCGTTTTTCAACATTTGATACAGAGTTTACAAAACTATATATTATAAAACATACTTGTAAAATCTTAATTTTTATTTGAACGTGACTTCATGTGGCCGATTTTTATTGACTTTTTATTATACAATATATACATATAGTTGTCAATGGCTACATGTTGTTTTTCGATGCTTGTTATGTTATTTGTTATTTGTTCTTGTATTTTTTCTATATCTTTTTTTTTATTCTTGACTACTAATAATACCAATGAATGGTTAAAACGTATTTGATATATTTATTCAATAGACCTTTTTACACTATGATTTTCCATAGCAACGTATGTTGCATTTCGCGCATGCGCATTCTGCGTAGGACAAAAGCGCAATAACGATAGCATACATTTAGCACACTTAAAGTCTTTAAAAGGCGTGATTTCAAGTTATGTCACGCAGAAAAAAGAAATTTTGGGATGAATTAAAGCGGTAAGTACTTAAAACGTGAATTGATATTTATAACAGATATACAAAACTAGCGGGACTTATAATTCAACGACCAAAAGTCCTCTGTTCAAGGTATCATTAGATGACTTTTTCATCAGTAATTTAAATTAAAACAGCAGGGTGTTTAAGATCACATTTTATTACCCATGTATTACATAATATTACACAATTGATATTCCTTTGAAAGTGGATTAAGTGTTAAACAGAAAGACAAGTGACCGGTTCTTTTTTGCCAGCTACTTAGCAATATCATTCAACCGGGTCGTTTTAGTACCATGACATAGTTAATTAGTTAAATTTAAGAAAATGGTAAATCGTAATTTAAGTAACTTTTATTGATACCAATCTAATCAATGTTTATTGATTTTGTGAAGTGACAAATAGTGTACGTGACGTGCATTTCCATGTTTTACAAGGAACCAGACAAAAATGTGTGTTATTCCACATCTTAATTTTACAAGAGTTTGAAAATTTATTTAAATATATTATGTGACTTAAAAATTTTCTGTTTGGCATTCTAGTCAAGTTGGATAAAGAATAAAATTAGCTAAACTGAAAACTAAAAATGCATTATATCACGTGTTCCGACTTTTTTCAGAATGATATTTAACCTCGATTTTAAATGTTTATAAAATTTATATAAAAATGTTAAATATGATATGTAATAAAAATATTTTTTAATATAGACATTTTCAACAACAATTAAATTGACTTCTTTATTTGCTAATATATATATTTCCACATATTTTTACAACAATAATCTCAATGACGTAAGGGGGAATTCTTAAACAATCGTCTTTTCCATGCTTTTTTGGGCAATCTTGGCCACAAAGCTATGAAGGCATCTTTTGTGTTTCTGGTAAAACTATTTTATATGATTTTCTAATTTTTACCTAAAACACACTCGGAATTGTCTATTTATTTGTACTTCAATTTTATGTAGTACATGGCTTTTTTGCCCTACGCAAATTGCAGATGCGCGAAAAATACGCGAAAAAATACTACTTCCGGTCATTTTTTCATAGCAACGGATCGCGTCGTAAAAAGGTCTGTACTAAATTTGTAATATAAAAGAAATAAATTCTTAATGTTCTAAGCCTCTTGATTCCATCTCTCGAACGGATCTATCTTTTGACCAAAGTTTTTATATTTTATGCATGACAGTTGTTTAATTTGAAGACAATAGCAGTGGCTTTGCGTATTCTTTGGAAGTTATATTTTTACTTATGAAGATTTTTAATAAATCAGAACATAAGCATACCTTTTATTTCAAGGAAATGTCAACGTAATATTTCTGTATTTTTTCTTTTGTTTTGTTGTACTTACAGCAGGTTATATACTAATTACATAATCTTGTATAATATAACTCAAGAAGTATAATATATAATATTTATGGATATTTTTCAAGAAATAAAGGCGTAAACTTTAATTAAGGTTTTAACATGTATATTTTATGGACATTCCATTTTTATTATTCACTAGTTTAATTTTGATTATGATTGTATTGAGTAGCTTTGTAGAGCTTATTAATACATTATTTCCACCTTAGATTCTTTTGATGTAATTATGTACAATATAAGTAGAGAATGGTTCTACTTTCATTTACATTGGACTTAAAACTCAGTGAGATACAAGTTGTTATATGTTTAGTTTTTTGGTAGTATTATGATTCTTTTTATTACTTTCTAGAATTCGCTATTCATAATTTAATTTGTAGAAATGTTAATTTTTTCTAATAAACTTTTTAATGAATCATTATCTATTTGTTAAGAAAAGCTTTTTAAGTTTATTCTGTCTGGCTGTAATTTACGGCGCACCAAGTGAATGATGCTTTGGCTGTAATTTACAGACCCATCAGATATGTTGTTACATACAGTGCCACCTGTTTGTTGACGTTAGCTCCTTTTGGGATTCAAAAGTTCATTTAACCAGGTATCTCAGTGAGTATTGACATTCAGTTGATAACTTTGAAGAAGTAACATTTCTAAAAGCTCTTTAAAGCGAATTAATTATTAAGTAAACCATAGAGATCATCTATATTCACTGAAACATCTTTGATAAATTTGTAAGTAATTTTGGTAATTTCATTTTACAGATTAAAACTTGTTCTAGGTGGCAGCCATCTTGAATTATTAGATTTTTATTTTTGTAACAGAGCTTGATTTTCGTACTATTTTATTTATATAAGTTTAATAGCGCAAAATCTTTAGGGTTATTTTTCAAACCTATAGT